TTGCAAAGAGCTGGACACGACTGGCAGACTAAACATGCATACGCACGTCCAATACAACCAAAAGGTAACAGCTACCATCTGGTCGCTCAAGTGAAAAATCAGGTATCTTCACGTGGAGAGTCATAAAAGGAGAGACACTCCAATAGACCTGGAGCAGACCCTACTCACACATTTAAGAGGCAAAAATCTGTCATCAGCAGGTCTTGGCCTATGTTCTCTCATTTTTGTCTCTCTTGATAGCAATTTCACTGCTCTTAAGCACCCTGCTTTTCCTTTTCTAGGGAGAGAACTAGTAAATGGCAGTCTATCTTTTCCTTTGAGTACTTTGAGTGGTAACATTGCATTCTTTACCTTCTCCATGATTGGCTTTTTAATGCATTGGTATAGGACAGTAGGGATGAAATTTTTTTTTACTCTGGATAATATTTCTTGGTGCTAAGAATTTAGGGAAATCTGAACTAGATCAGATCTTTTAGGGATATGATAGACTAGCACATGGGCTTCCCTTGTAGCTCAGATGGTAAAGAATCTGTCTGCAATGCGGGAGACCTGGTTTGATTCCTGAGTCAGGAAGATTCCCTGGAGAAGGGAATGGCTACCTACTCCAGTATTCTCGCCAGGAGACTCCATGGACAGAGGAGCCTGGCAGGCTACAGTCGATGGGGTTGCAAAGAGTCAGACATGACTGAGTGACTTTGAGAGAGAGGGACAGACTACTACATAATAAGGTCCCACAAGATTTCTGGGAATAAATGTCATTCCAGCCTAGCACCCACGACAAACATCTCTGAACCGAGGATGAAGACTTCACCCACTCCTTAAGATTGATTTGGGTGCTCCATCCCAGGCTTCCTTGTGCCTGGCCTATCTAGTTTATATCTAGTACACTAAGACATACTATAAAGTGAAGTGTTAGTCACTCAGTTGTGTCCAAATCTTTGTGACCCCACGAACTGTATAGCCCACCAGGCTTCTCTGTCCATGCGATTCTCCAGCCAAGAATACTGGAGTGGATTGCCATTCTCTTCTCTAGAGGATCTTCCCAACCCAGGGATAGAACCTGCGTCTCCTGCATTGCAGGCAGATTCTTTACTGTTTGAGCTACAGGGAAGTCCAAGACATACTATATAACTGCTTTTATATAACACTTCCTTCCCCAACTAGATGGGAGGCATCCTGAAGATAGTTATACTACCTAGCTTCTGGAGCATAATACATGGTGTCATGGGGCTAGTAAAGATTTAAAGACTCTAGTCCAACCTCCAAAATTCAAGCGGGGGCTGGGGACCATCTCTTATGGATGTTGTGGTGTGGATTCCTGAAAGAAGTCTTAGCTCAATGGCTTCTGAGTCTGTACATCAGAATGGATGACAAAGAGAAGGGGCCCTAAAGATAGAGATAGCTTCTCTGAGTGCATCAACTGTGATGCTGTGACCCTTCCAGGAAGACGTGCCAGCTAAGTAGCTGGCAGAACCACTGGCCCCAGAGTGCCTCCTGGTCACACCGCCCTGCCTGCCAAGTGATGGCTGCCATGCTGACTCAGACACAGGGGAAGCTCACAAGGTGAATTTTAATGGGACCAAGACCCAAAGTAACTAGATACCACATAGAAAAAAATATATACATTTAAACCCATTATCACAAAATCTAGTGTGTCCTAGAAGAAACAATTTCCTCAATGACTATTCTGCCAGGTTTTTTAAAAAACAGGCATTTTCCCTTCAGTTCAATTCAGTCGTTCAGTCGTGTCCGACTCTTTGCGACCCCATGAATTGCAGCACGCCAGGCCTCCCTGTCCATCACCAACTCCTGGAGCCTACCCAAACTCACGTCCATTGAGTTGGTGATGCCATCTAACCATCTCATCCTCTGTCATCCACTTCTCCTCCTGCCCTCAATCTTTCCCAGCATCAGGGTCTTTTCAAATGAGTCAGCTCTTCGCAAAAGGTGGCCAAAGTATTGGAGTTTCAGCTTCAGCATCAGTCCTTCCAATGAATATTCAGAACTGATTTCCTTTAGGATGGACTGGTTGGATCTCCTTGCAGTCCAAGGGACTCTCAAGAGTCTTCTCCAACACCACAGTTCAAAAGCATCAATTCTTTGGCTCTCAGCTTTCTTTACAGTCCAACTCTCACAACCATACATGACTACTGGAAAAACCATAGTCTTGACTAGACAGACCTTTGTGGACAAAGTAATGTCTCTGCTTTCTAATATGCTGTCCAGGTTGGTCATAACTTTCCTTCCAAGGAGTAAGCGTCTTTTAATTTCATGGCTGCAATCACCATTTGCAGTGATTTTGGAGGCCCGAAAAATAAAGTCTCTCACTGTTTCCACTGTTTCCCCATCTATTTGCCATGAAGTGATGGGACTGGATGCCATTATTTTAGTTTTCTGAATGTTAGAGGTGATGAAATTCTCTTAAACTCAAATACATCTAGGACCACACAGGCTTTTGAACTTTTCCTGAAGGACTTGTCATTTCTTAGCAGACCTGTGTTCAAGATCCAACCAACCAATGTACAAATGAACTTTTGATTCAAGATTTTTTGCAGAATTCATTCTCTTCTGGATCACCAGAAAAATGGTTGTTTTCATCACCATAAAAAACTTCCTGTAAGTGTGCAATGAAGAACAAATAAAATAAAGCAAATGAACAATGCTTGAAGATGAAGCACCCAACTGAATTCTTCTAATATTAACTTAAGACAAAAGGATAAGTTGCCAAGAGAGAGAGTAGAATTCTAGTAGAATTCTAGTAATTATTAAGAAGAGACTATATCTGTAACTAGTTAGAAGGTTTAAATGTCACCTGGATGAACAAGATATGCTTTCCTCTCAAGGCCCTTGCAGCCACCTGTATTAGCTTTCTGTCTTCTTAGAACCAACATGCTCACAGGAATTCCTCCACATCCTGCTTCTATCTGAACTGCTGATGCAATGCCACACACACACGTGCGCACGCGCAGAGCCACAGCCCTAACTCTGTGGCCAGTCTCTGAACTTCCATTCAGACACTCTGTGAAGCTTCATGATAAGGAAGTGCTCCCCTTTTCAAAGCTGTAGGGGAGGGGAGGGGAGGGGAGGTGCCAGGAGGGGAATATCTGTCTGCCAGTTGGCTCTCTCTCTTTGCAGCATTAAGGAGGTTTACAAAGTGCTCTCAAAAGCAGAATTCATTCGATTTGCTCAAAATGTAAGAAGACGGATGTGTAGGGGCTTCTTGACTTTTTATTTTGCTATCTTTATTAGCAAACTTGTTATAACTTTTAGAAGTCTGAAGCTGGAATGTATAATCTAGCCTTCATGGGCACACATATCTTGACTCAATGAAGCCTTTATAGCTACTTTGAATCACCTTTGGTCAGAATGTCATGGTTAAGACATATATCTTTTAATGTACAAAAGTATATATTAATAGCACCACTTACAATAACAATTGGGAACCAATGCACCCCAGTAGAAAGATAGCATGGAGGGAACATAGGTTTCAAAATCAGACACACAGGTAAATACAGGTATAGGGCATATCCTATTGGTTATGTTTCTCTGGAGAATTCAGACTAATATCCACCCTGTCATCTTTCTTTCTTCCCCACTCCCAATTATCTCTCAAAGCTCTCTCAGTGGTTGAAATGTTCAGCTAGAGTTAAGACCCTTTGATCTAGGAATTCTTCATCCCTCAGGGGGTCCATGGATGGCTTTAAAGTGTCTGTGATATCATGGAACTCATAAACAAAATTTTGCATGTATATTTACATAACTGGTCCAAACTCCCAGCTGGTCCTCAGATCCCTTCCATGACATTCAGCAGAATGATCATTTGTTTTTGTTTAAACATCTCCAGTGATGGGAAAACCCTTCCTTTCATCTCATCTTAGAACAATTCTGAGAGTCGATTTGAGGAAACTGAGGCCCAAGAAGCCTGCTTTTGAGTAAAAGAATCACACAACATTAGTCAGAAGGATACCTCGTGGTCTTCATGGGTAAATTCTTCATTTTACAGAGGAAAAACTGAGGCACAGAGAAATTTGGTGTCCTGCCCAAACTAAGAGAGTTAACGATAGATGGGGGATGAAAGCCCAGCCCCTCAACTCCCCACTTAGCCTGCCTCCCTCACCGCATGCAGCAGAGTCACCTCAAGGAGGGGACGTGTGGGGCACACTTCAGGAGAGCAGGGCTGTTCCCCCTACACTGTAGCATCCTTCTAGAAGGCAGGTTTGGAGGAGAGTGGCCCATCTCCTCATGTCCTTCAGAGAGCTTCCCCACCCCTTCCGGTCCCTATGTGGATGGAGGAAAGGTGTCAGGAAAACCCAGCTTGGTCATACTGATGTGGAATGAGGTACTGACATGGAGATTCTGGCCCGACTCATCCCCCAGAGGGTCAGGAGCAGGTGCTGAAGTGAAGCACAAAGGTGTTCTGCTGCTGGCCTCCGGAAGGTGGTATGTGATGATAAGAGAGGAATCTGAAGGTTTCAGATCTTCAGAGTGGATTTGTAAATATGCAGTAAAATCTAAGTGATGTTAAAGAAGCATTGACTTGTTTAGGGTGGAATTAGGTTCATTAATAATTTGGACTCATTATATTCAATATTACAATACCGCTCACTTACTACTGAGTGGCTTAATATCTTACTGGGTTGCTTAAGATCTCTGAGCCTGACTGCCTCATCTATAACTTGGGGTTAATAATATCCAGGTTAGAACCTCAAGGAACTGTTGAATGGAGTGAATTACTTAACGTATAGAGTAGTTAGGAGAGTGTCTGTTGTGTCCAATAATTTGGTGGTGGTTATTGTTAATAAAAATACAATCAACAAAATGAAATATTAGAATGACCAATTATTCTCATATACGCCTTTTCCCACCAAACAATACATCTCTGATGACAGAGGTAAAGTCATAGTGTATACTGAATTCCCAATTCCTAACCACACAGCTTGGCACAAATCTATGCCCATGGTAGGTATCAGTAAGAACTCAGTCAAATGAACCCCTCCTACCAGATCACTCTGTTCTTTCAGGGGTATTTCGGATCCAGCTTCTGCCTCGAGGCTCACGGCATCAACACACTCAGCGAGGGCATCCTCAGTCACCTCCCCGTTGAGGGGCGGTTCCACGGCGCCAAGGTCTTTGGGCTGCTCAGCGAGTCCAGTGTCCGCAGTCTCTGCACCCGGAACAGCCTCATTTTCATGCACATCTCTTCCGGGATTCGCTGGCGTGAGCTCATTTGAAATTGTAGCTGAATCACAGTGTACTTCTGCATCTTTGGGTAAAGTATCACTGTTGGGCTTGTTGGTCATTTCTTCTTTGTCTCCAGAGGCTAACGTGTCATCACCATTGTCAGACATTTTAATATCTGTCAACATGATTACAAAACAAACAACTTAACACTTTATCTGAATTATTAAATTTTAATTCAAAGCCCTGAATAATTAAATCTGGTGGGGGTAAGCTTTTTTTCTACCAAGAAGAAACTTTATGTAACCTCTGTGTAGGTCGAATAATGGCTCCCCAAAATATCCATGTCTTAATGCTTGGAATGTGACTTGGCTTCCTATGCAGTGAGGTCCTTGTATCTTTATTTTAGACTAATAAAATTATCAGGCTTCCCAGGTGGCTCAGTGGTCAAGAATCTGCTTGCATTGCAGGAGGTGCAGGAGACACAGGTTCCATCCATATTCACTTTGTGAATGTCACTTTATATGGCCAAAAGGACTTTGAAGATATGATTAAATTAAGAATCTCGGATTACCTGCATGGGTCTTAATTCAAATCACAAGTGTCCTTATCAGAGTAAGGCAGAGGGAGCTCTGACTGCAAAGAGGAAAAGGTAATATGATGACAGAAGCAAAGACTGGAGTGATGCACTCTGAAGATGAAGGAACAGACCACAAGCCAAGGAACACGGGTGGCCACTAGATGTTGAAAAAGTCAAGGAAAACATTCTCCCCTCAGACTCTAGAACTGTAAGAGAATACATTTGTATTGCTGTAAATCACTATGGTGGTTGTACTTTGTTGCAGTAGCAATAGGAACTAATACAGACCCACAGTGCTACCTTTAAACTTTCATGGATCTTTCACCTGGCATGAGGAAATATGCATTTGGAACTAAATATTATCTGTATCTGTGAAAGTATTTACTTCATATGACTTAATTATATTTGTAGCCATAATAAGAATAAGCATGGAAAATACCTGAGAGCTTATTTTAAAATGCTTGACATTTAGTATTGCAATTTGGTCAAAAATTGAAATTGAAAAAAACATACATACACAGAAGTGTGACTTGTTGGGTACCAGACCATGAAGGTCTGCATTTTCTTTGGTCAATAGTTTAGATGGGGAAACACAAGGATGAAATGGAATAAAAAAGTGACATATTAAGCCAAATGAGGAATGGAGCCATTACAAAATAACATAGAAAACAGAAACCTCTTTAAGAAGATTGTGAATTATTGCTACCATGTACAACAGTGAAGTTCAATAGAATTTTCAGTGATGATGAAATGTTCTGCATTTATGATGGCCAATATGGTAGCTAATAGTCACATATGGCTATCAAATACTTGAAATGTGGCTGGTGCAATGGAGGAACTAATTTTTAAATTTAATTTTCAATAATTTTAACTTAAATTTGTATAGACATATATGGCTAGTGGCTACCTTATTGGATAACATATATTCAGAAGGATAGTTCAAGATGATAATTTCCTTGTGTGTGTTTGCGTGTGTGTGTGTGTGTGTGTGTGTGTGTGTGTGTATGTTCAATCAAATCAGTCATGTCAACTCTTTGCAACCCTATGGACTACAGCCTACCAGGCTCCTGTCCATGGGATTCTCCAGAAAAGAATATTGGAGTGGATTGCCATGCCTTTCTCCTGGGGATCTTTCTGACCAGGAATTGAACCCATGTCTCCTGCATTGCAGGCAGATTCTTTATCATTGAGCTACCTGGGAAGCCCGATAATTTCATTAGTCTAAAAAAGAGATCATGACCTCACTAGATAGGAAACCCAAGTAGCAGGCTAATCAGTGGGTATTTTTGTTGACCTCAGTGTTTACCAACTGGTCAAATCTCTGGTCACTGTTAAAACCACAGTATGTGGGAAGCCATTTCACAAACTGGCCATGTGATGTGGCATGTGGCCACATGTAAGTTGACAGTAGCCTCTTACAATTCACGTGCACATGCCAACTGTCGTGACCCTTCAAACAGTCGTTCCTTACAGTTGTCTAGCTATTTTCTTTTCTCTCTCCCTTGGTGAATCTTGTTCCTCTCTCACAGTTTTACACACTTCTATGTTGTGACTCTCAAATACCTACCTCCATTCCGCAAAGACAGAAAGTAAATTAGTGGCTTCTAGTGGCTGAAGGGAGGGGGTGAGTAATGACTGCTAACGGATGTGGATTTCTTTTGTGGGTGATGAAAATGTCCTAAAACTAACTAGTGGTAATGTCTGTACAATTCTGTGAATATATTACAAGCCACTGAACTGCACATTCAAGAAGCATGAATTTTTAGTATGTGAACTTTGTGATGTGTGAATAATATCTCAACACACTCTTACAGGAAAAATCTAGCTCCAGATAAGCACTTCTAATGGCAAGCTGGACATCTCATCCTGTCCCAAAGAAAACATGTTGTCTTGCCATTAATTCTAAATCTTCACCTTGACCTTTTGGGTTTCTTTTAATGGCACCTAGATTTTTCCAATACAGGCTTAAAATCTCAAAACTGTCAATGACCAAATCTTCACTCTCTCAAGAATATATGATATTGAAAGCTATTATATCATTTATCGAGTGCCTGTTAAATTTAGGCTCTTTAAAATGCGTTATCTCCTGTGAGTTAGATATGATGAGCTCCATTTTACAGATGATGCAACTAGTGCTCAGAAGTCACACTTTAAGGAATAGGGGCAGATTTGAACTCTGAACCCACATCTGACTTCGAACATCACAGTCCTATGCCACCTATCTCTTCCCTTACATTCAACCAGTGCTCAAATCCTAGAGGCTCTTTACTCAGAATCCAGAGACTTCCTAGGTGGCACTAGTAGTAAAGAATCTGTTTGCCAATGCAGGAGGTGCAAAAGATGCAGATTTGGTCCCTGGGTTGGGAAGATCCCCTGGAGGAGAAAATGGCAAGCCACCCTGGAGGAGAAAATGGCAAGCCACCCTGGAGGAGAAAATGGCAAGCCACGCCAGTATTCTCGCCTGGATGAGTCAATGGACAGAGAAGCCTGGAGGGCTATACAGTCCATGGGTCTGCAGAGAATCGGACATGACTGAGCACACACACACATCCTTTATTTCACTTCTATTTTCCCTGTCATCACCTTCAGTCAGGCCCTCCATGTGATCTACACTAATGATTTCAATACTGAGTTCACCCCTCCACAGTTATTCTCCCTTTCACTTCCTCATCCTTTACCTCACTGCTCTAATTACATCACCTCCTGCTCAGATATTCTCAGGGGCTTCCCACTTACTACTGAGATGAAGCCACATCCTTTAGCTGGCATCCAAGGACCCCTGTGCTCTGATCACACTACACTTCTCTCCCACAATGCCCTTCCAATCCTTAAATGAGACAACATAAGAATGTGAACAACCCTGACATTCACAAAAGATGTCAGGCGGCTGTTGGTTCAGTATGTTGTTTTAACATATTTAAGGCCCATTTAGAGTAACTGTCTCCTCTATATTTTTTTCCTCCTAACTGGATATAATTTTTCTTCCTCTGAACTCTCAGAGAGCTTTGCATCTATCTCAGTTTGGACGGTTACAATCATCGTTGACTAGAATCATTTGAGTGTTATCCTAATATGTTGTAAATACTATGAAGACAAGAATCTTCCTTATTTTGTCTTCATATTTTATATAGCACTTAACCTGGTTTCTTGAACACTGTAGGAAACTCAACAAACATGTGTATTGAGTTATACTAATATTTTTGTGAAGATTTAAAATTAAAGTGTAATTTGAAATGAAAGTAAGCAGCAAATGCCTTTACTTCGTTCACTGCTCAGGAGCTATCTTACAGCAAGTGGTTTCAAATGACCCATATTGTCTTTCCTCTGTTCCTTCACCTACAAGATAACTGGGTTAGAATGTCTCTTTTTAAACAAAAATACTTGAATTCTCTGATAACACAACTATAAACAAGTCTGCAGATGGGAAAGGCAAAGAATGCATCCTCCCTTTTGGCTGATACATCAAGTTTCGGGTATTCAAGGCTAGAGATGGTCTGTCAATAAGTATGCTCACTGCCTAGTTAAAATAGTAAAGAGTGATTCTGGCTACCCTAAAGAAAAGGGATTGTTACTGTGTTTACGGGAGAGAGATGAGATTTGAAGGAGGGTAATTGAAAAGCTATTGTCACGTGGAAGCTTATAAAATTTTTGTGAAAACCAGTCAGGACTGGCCTGGACAGAGGTTGGCAAACTACAGCCAGGTGCCTAAATTTGCCTTCCCTCTGTTTTGGTAAATAAAATTTTATTGGAACACAGACATGCTCATTTGTTTATATACCATCTATGGGTTCTCTAGTACAACAGCTGAGTTGAAGAGTGGCGAGAGAGACCACATGGCCCCCAAAATTGCAAAGCCTAAAATAGTTACTATCTGGCCCTGTATAGAAAATGTTTGCTGACCCGTGGTCTAGGACATTCCTTCACTGCCATGGCCTAGAGTTCTCCTAATTTATCCTTATCTTCACCTGGGTCCTAGGGGTGCGACCATAAGGAGATTGAGCACATACTTGGACATCACTTATATTTCCCCTTTTGTGTTCATCAACATTTAGTCAAAGGCACTGTCTGATATTTTAATTTCTTTGTAAGATAATTTGAAAACCTTATTGTTAATCTGTATTATTAAGAAGTTCCAAACTATTTCACTTCTCTATCAGCAGGAACACAAGAATAAACCTGGTTATGATAAACATTAATGGGTGAATAAAAAGCATTAAGAACATTTTGTATCTGCTTCACCTTAAATTGTTGTGATACTGTTCCTAGTGCTAAAATATTTCAGCACATACCATGGAACATCTACATGGATTTGTTGTATTTTATGCCCTGGGGGTGGCTGGTTAACATTTTAAATGTCTTATTAAGAAATATAATTTTCAAGGTCTTTAGTTACCATTTCAGATTCTGTAATGCACGGTTCACCTCGTGAGAGGGTTCAACCATCCCTCTCTCCGAACACTATTTATCAAGGGGAACTATTAAAAGCTTCCCCAGTGACTCAAATTTCAAAGAATCTGCCTGCAATGCAGGAGACCCAGGTTCAAACCCTGGGTTGGGAAGATTCTCTGGAGAAGGGAATGACTACCCACT